CCGCTGTCAACTTTGCCAAAAGCATGTGTTTTGACCCAAATGTTGTCACTAGAAAGTGGCCATCTTTTTTTGTTTCAGAAATTCGGAGGTTTGTAGAGCTTTAGAGTGTTTACGTGTAAGCTCAGATAAGCTAAGATTTGTAGCTACACCGTACCCAGTGAAGCTCGAGCGCATTTTTCTCTCCATTCGTTTATTGATTCATCTAGTCTGATATTTTTCCAGAAGTGTAAAATAATAGCTTGTTGCGTTCCATCGTGTTAGCGGTGTTTTCTATATCCGGGGAAAGCCGAAGAAGAGTCATAACCGTTGCGGTGCTCACCTCGATCCACTCCTATAACTCTATTCCTTTCTGCAACTTGGTCGGTATTACATCTCAATTTAAAAGCTTTCCATCTTCCATCCACCAGCCTTAAAATTCAATTTACACTGGTGACACGGTAATGGAAAAGCACAGGCTTTAATAAATCCTTGCCCATTTAAACTTCTAAAAGTGCGTGGAATATTGGGAAGTATGCTCAGGCTTTTATGAGTGCAGCAAGCATTTACAATTAATGCCGGGGCTTTGAAATGTGTAAAAGTCTAACATCCAGTGCTGGCACCGTAAGGAGGCAAATGACAGCGCTTGACCTCGATCATCTGCAGCGCCGACCGGCGATACATTTTTTTCGCCCTCTGGGTGCAGGGGTAAGAATCTGAATTTGTTATAATAGCACAGCATTGCCTCTCTGGGATAGCTTTGTGCCCTGTGATATACATGTATTCTCTCCCTCTGGGAGCAGAGGTAAGAATCTGAATCTCCTTGCTTAATTTATTATAATAGCACAGCATTGCCTCCCAGGGATAGCTGTGCGATTCATTATTTATATGTATTTTCTCCCTCTGGGAGCAGAGGTAAGAATTTGAATCTCCAATCTTATTTTATTATAATAGCACAGCAATGCCACTTAGGGATAGCTTTGTTCCTTGTTAGTTACATATATTTTCTCCCTTAGGGAGCAGGGGTAAGAATCTGAATCTCCACGATGAATTTGTTATAGCAGCAAAGCATTGTATCTCAGTAATAGCTATGTGCTTCGTTATTTACATGTATTCTCTCCCTCACAGAGCAGAGTAAGAATCTGAATCGTCATACTTAAATTGCTATAGTAGGACAGACTTCTATGCTATTACTGCAGTGTGTCCTGAGAGGCCCAAAGCGTTTGGGAAAATTGGTGCTGAGGAACACATCCTTTTGCATACCACAATGTAATAGGAGGCAGTGGCGTAACAATAGCCATAGCAGGCCATGCAGCTGCTATGGGGCCTGCGGGTGGAAGGGGGCCCCATTAAGGATTGCAGAAGTTTCTGTTGACACTAACCCTGTACCCCCTGTGACATTTCCCATCAAGAAGAGCTGACATAAAATGTACAGGAGACTATGCAGACAGTTCTCATTCTACCCAACTTTTATTGACAGTAGTGAGGTCGCTGAGGGACCCCATTAAAATCTTGCTATGGGGCCCCATGATCTAAAGTTACGCCTCTGATAGGAGGCCATAGCTACCTATTAAGTGGTGCCCTGCATTGAATTGTGTGATGTACTTTGAACATTCCTAAGCTTAAAACTTCATAATACAGGTTACCCCCAGGTTTTGGGTGTTCTGGGTTGGCCGTACGGTGACAGATCTTTAACTGATACCAATCCTGGCAATGCCTGGGCTTCATTTCTAGCTGTGACCATGAAGTTGTATGAACGCTTGATCAACGTGTAACGAATAGTCATTTCCACCCCGTGCTCTTTTGGGGCCATCTAGGTCTTTTGTATCTCACTGGAGACATCCAGCTGACAATGCCGTTGCTTAGTTTGAGGTCATTGGGACTGTGCAGCAGTGAAAGACAGCTGGCGATGAAACTGCTAATTGCCCTTGAGTTTTGTCTTGGTTGTAGTCTCTGTGGAATCGCTGCGTAGAACATTACAACAAAGACATTGACATCTGCTCAGACCTCAGTTCAGCCTGTGTGCGCTGCCCATCCCTCTACGCTGACCTCTCACTCAGTAGAAGCCAAATTACCTCTGAGATGGATTAGAAAGAGATAGCGAGAGATGCGAATAGAAAACCGATAGAAGGCTTCGTATGACAGCGCGTGCGTCGCGCGGCTCTGCTTTCTTCTCCCGACCGGGGTTCTTGTTTTTTTTTCGTGTTTACTTTATCATTAATGACTGATAAAGACAGACGGAGGCTTGCCGGGAACGGAAAAGGCGCCTAAGCAATCTGTTAATGGAGATTGCTATATCTCTGGGACAGGCCATGATGGCTTTTCCCGGCTCGGCTAATGGTATGATGCTGCGCAAATGCGATCCAAGGGACCGCTCCGTTTTCTGTTGAGAGAAGGGAATGATTAGATTGTAATTAAAGAAAATCTGTTTTCACTCTCTCGTTTGTCAACTGCAAGCAGACAGCCTTAAAGGCCTTCTCCGGGCAAGCAAAAAAGTACTCTTGTAGTGGGGCTACCCCTGCACTGCAAGGGTAACGTGCTGCTATTTGTCTAGGGGACTGGAGTAAAGCAGATTGACTTACCTGATCCCCATCAGCTCCCCCAGGGTGGCTAGACCGGTCCCTGCATCCTCTTCTCTCCCTGGTTCTGGTGGTCTAAGGACCGCTGAGGTCATACATCTAATGCAGGTTCCAGTGAGGTGTGGATGCCGAGGGACATTCAAGCAGCCAGAGAGGAGGGCTGACTGGCGGGGATCGGGAATCGGTCAATCTACTTTATTCCATAAACAAGCACTTAGCCCTTGCTGTGCTGGGGTAGCCTCACTTTAGGGGTACTTTTTTTGTTCGAAGATGGGCTTTAAATAAAACAGAATAAATACATACTGGCCGCCTTTACATGCCCAAGGATTTGTAGTTCTGTCCATCCATCCTGAGATTTAAACTGGCCGTACATTAGTCATTTTTTTCTCAGGATGATGAAAACCGCTCGATTGCCTCATCCACACTAAGGGCCAGTGGACACCTCACCGCGCGGCAATCGTGCACGATTCCGCACGGATTGCTGCGCGGTCAGGAGTCGCCTAGGTGTGCACCGATCGCGCTGTGGGAGCCATTATTTTCTAACGGCACCCCAGTCGCGCCGGGCAGATCGCCGCAATTCCGCCCATGCTTCCAAACACGATAAATAGCCACATGTCGTGTATCGCAAAAAAAAAGGTACATGTACCTTCTTTTTTTTTTCTGCGATTGCTGCACGGAAGTCACCCCATTGAACGCAAAACGCGGCCTGCATTGTGCAGGAGCACACAACACCCAGGACGCGCGATCCCGGATTGCGTAGGTCTGCACCGGGCCTAAACAGTGTGGATACCCTCCCCACTTTGCTATTTTTACTGTGACAGTGGCAATTGTGCTAATGTCCGAATAGCCA